CTCTTTCTATTCTTTCGCTTTTTTGTATCTCTCATCTCTCTTATCTCCCTCTTTCTATTCTTTCGCCTTTTTTGTATCTCTCATCTCTCTTATCCCCCTCTTTCTATTCTTTCGCCTTTTTTGTATCTCTCATCTCTCTTATCCCCTCTTTCTATTCTTTCGCCTTTTTTGTATCTCTCATCTCTCTTATCCCCCTCTTTCTATTTTGCTTTTTTTATTCTGTTCTCTCATCTCCCTCTTTTATTCTTTCCTTTTTGTATCCTCTCTCTCTCTTATTCTTTCTATTCTTTCGCTTTTTGTATCTCTCATCTCTCTTATTCTCCCTCTTTCTATTCTTTCGCTTTTTTTCTCTATCTATCTCTTATCTCCCTCTTTCTATTCATTTTCCTTTTTTTGTATCTCTCATCTCTCTTATCCCCCTCTTTCTATTCTTTCGCTTTTTTGTATCTCTCATCTCTCTTATCCCCTCTTTCTATTCTTTCGCTTTTTTATCTTCATCTCTCTCATCTTTCTATTCTTTCCTTTTTCTATTCTTTTCTCTTATCCCCTCTTCTCTTCTTTTCTTTTTTTATCTCTCTCTCTTATCCCCTCTTTCTATTCTTTCCTTTTTTTTGTATCTCTCATCTCTCTTATCCCTCTTTCTATTCTTTCTAATTTTTTTGTATCTCTCATCTCTCTTTTGTATCTCCCCTCTTTCTATCATTCTTTTTTTGTATCTCTCATCTTCTTCCCCCCTCTTTCTATTCTTTCTGCCTTTTTTATCCCCTCTTTATCCCTCTTTTCTATTCTTTCGCCTTTTGTATCTCTCATCTCTCTTATCTCCCTCTTTCTATTCTTTCGCTTTTTGTATCTCTCATCTCTTATCCCCCTCTTTCTATTCTTTCCTTTTTTGTATCTCTCATCTCTCTTATCTCCCTCTTTCTATTCTTTTGCTTTTTTGTATCTCTCATCTCTCTTATCCCCCTCTTTCTATTCTTTCGCTTTTTTGTATCTCTCATCTCTCTTATCCCCCTCTTTCTATTCTTTTTTTTTTGTATCTCTCATCTCTCTTATCCCCCTCTTTCTATTCTTTCGCTTTTTTGTATCTCTCATCTCTCTTATCCCCTCTTTCTATTCTTTTGCTTTTTTGTATCTCTCATCTCTCTTATCCCCCTCTTTCTATTCTTTCGCTTTTTTGTATCTCTCATCTCTCTTATCACCCTCTTTCTATTCTTTCTTTTTTTCGGAAAAAATCTCTCTTATCCCCCTCTTTCTATTCTTTCGCCTTTTTTGTATCTCTCATCTCTCTTATCCCCCTCTTTCTATTCTTTCGCTTTTTTGTATCTCTCATCTCTCTTATCTCCCACTTTCTATTCTTTCGCTTTTTTGTATCTCTCATCTCTCTTATCCCCCTCTTTCTATTCTTTTCGCTTTTTTGTATCTCTCATCTCTCTTATCTCCCTCTTTCTATTCTTTCGCTTTTTTGTATCTCTCATCTCTCTTATCTCCCTCTTTCTATTCTTTCGCTTTTTTGTATCTCTTTCTCTTAAAAAAAATTCTTTCCTTTTTTTATCTCTCATCTCTCTTATCCCCTCTTTCTATTCTTTTCCTTTTTTGTATCTCTCATCTCATCTTATCCCCTCTTTCTATTCTTTCGCTTTTTTTGTATCTCTCCTCTCTTATTCTTTCTATTCTTTCGCTTTTTTTGTATCTCTCATCTCTTATCCCCCTCTTTCTATTCTTTCCTTTTTTGTATCTCTCATCTCTTATCCCCTTTTCTATTCTTTCCTTTTTTGTATCTCTATTCTCTTTCCCCTCTTTTTTCTAATTTTTTTGTATCTCATCTCTCTTATCCCAAACATTTTCTTCTATTCTTTCCCTTTTCTTTGCTTTTTATCTCTCATCTCTCTTATCTCCCTCTTTCCTATTCTTTCGCCTTTTGTATCTCATCTCTCTTATTCCCCTCATTCTATTCTTTCGCTTTTTTGTATCTCTCATCTCTCTTATCCCCCTCTTTCTATTTTTTAGCTATTCTTTTTTTGCTGTCATCTCTCTTCTCTCCCTCTTTCGATTTTACTCCTTTTCTCGCATTTCCTCTGTATTTCTTCTCATCTTTTAACTTTTTATCTTATTTTTTATTGTATTCCACTTTATTTTATTTTTTATCCTTTCTTTTTTTACCCTCTCCCTCTTTTCTTCCTTCTGTTTTCCTCTCTTTCTTGTTATTGATTCCGTTTGATTTCTTGCCTCTCCTTTTCCCCTCTTACCATTTTCTGTTATTTCTCTCTCTCTCTTATTCTCTTTTCCTTTCGCTTTTAATTCTCTACGTATTTATTTCTCTTGTTCACGATTCTATTTCTTTTCTTCCTTTTATTTTTCTCCTCCTAATATTTTGTCCTTTTCCCCCTCTTATCCATTCTTATTCATCTCTTTTACTTCTCTGTTTGTTTCTTCTCATTCTTCTTGTTCTTTTCTTTCTCTTTCTTCTCTTTCTCTTCCCTTTTCTTTTTTCATGTCTTACTCTGTCTTTCCTTTTCTTTTCCTTCTGTTTATTGTTGCTCCCTTTTTCTCTAGGTACTTTTTACTTCCCTCGTATTCATTCACCTCTTCCTTCGTCCCTCGTATTCATTCACCTCTTCCTTCTTCCCTCGTATTCATTCATCTCTTCCTTCTTCCCTCGTATTCATTCACCTCTTCCTTCGTCCCTCGTATTCATTCACCTCTTCCTTCTTCTCTCGTATTCATTCATCTCTTCCTTCTTCCCTCGTATTCATTCCTTTTCCTTCTTCCCTCGTATTCATTCACCTCTTCCTTCTTTTCTCGTATTCATTCATCTCTTCCTTCTTCCCTCGTATTCATTCACCTCTTCCTTCTTCCCTGTATTCATTCATCTCTTCCTTCTTCCTCGTATTCATTCACCTCTTCCTTCTTCTCTCGTATTCATTCATCTCTTCCTTCTTCCCTCGTATTCATTCATCTCTTCCTTCTTCCCTCGTATTCATTCACCTCTTCCTTCTTCCCTCGTATTCATTCATCTCTTCCTTCTTCCCTCGTATTCATTCACCTCTTCCTTCTTCCCTCGTATTCATTCACCTCTTCCTTCGTCCCTCGTATTCATTCACCTCTTCCTTCTTCTCTCGTATTCATTCATCTCTTCCTTCTTCCCTCGTATTCATTCACCTCTTCCTTCTTCCCTCGTATTCATTCACCTCTTCCTTCTTCTCTCGTATTCATTCATCTCTTCCTTCTTCCCTCGTATTCATTCACCTCTTCCTTCTTCTCTTTTCTCTCTCCTTAATATTTCTAGTCTTTTTTTGTTCTTAGCTATTTTTGGTTATTATCAGTTTTCTATTCTTCTTCTTCTTTTTCCTTTTCCCACATTTTCTTTTCTTTCTTTCTCTTCCCTTCCACTCTTCTTCTGCTTCTTCTTCTTCTTCCTCATTTTCTCTCCTTTCTTCTTCTTCTTCTTCTTCTTCTATGTAGCAATATTCGCCCTCTTTTTTCTTCTTCCCTCTTCCTGGTTTTCTTCGTCTTCAATATATATATATATATATATATATATATATATATATATATATATATAATTTTTCTTCTCGCCTTATGTAGGATTATTCGCCCTCTTTTTTTCTACTATTTCTCTTTCTCTCTTCTTCTTCGCCGTTTCTCATTATGGTCGTCATTAAGCCGTTGTGATTAGATTAGATTAAATATTGAACTAATGATCATCACCGTCATTCTCAAACTCTTCCCCCTCCCCATCATCATCATCGTCATCACAAATGTTCATCATCCTGTATATCTTATTATAGTTTTATTGTTTTTATTCAGATATTATCACTGCGATTTTTGATAAGCCGTAATTGGATTTATTTCACATTGCCATCTTTTTCACAATCTAAAGAATCGGCAAAAGTTAAAGATGCAAAAAATTAAATCAAATTAAATTAAATTAAAGAAACGCTAAAACGAATTTTATATTTTGTATTTATATATAAAGAAAAAATTGACAATACGCTGGAAATGCAGGTTCGAACACCGTAATTCACAATTGCATACACAAATACGGCGTGGATCACGGATATATTTACACATTGATGCAGAACATATATATATATATATATACACACACATTCTCCTACATACACACGGAGAGCTAAGAGTTATACATTTCTATATGTACACAAAGATACGCTTTCTCTTTATATATATATATATATATATATATATATATGAAGAAATATTGTCTTAAGGTTTGCTATATTTATGGGATAAAGTGCTCAATATCAGAGATAAATCGTGTGGAAATATAAAAGTGAACATTGAAGTCAACACTTAGAGGCGACAGGTTGTTTCATGCTTTTTCAGTGGCCTGACGATATATATATTTTATGTTTATACGTTCTTTTTATAGATACAAATAATTATGTAAATGCTCTGTTTAAAATAAACAGTATTAACAACTTTTATCGGCTTGAATGTCGGAGAAATTTTCATAGAAAATATGCGTCCACTGACAGGAATCGAACCTGTATCCTATACGGAACCGTCATATAGCCTGACGTGCCTTTAACCGATTGGGCCACAGCGGAGCGTTAGGTTAGCAAGATCGATTTTACTGTTTTTAAACGGAGGACGCATATTTTCTATGAAAATTTCTCGGACATTCAGGCCGGAAAATTTACTTAAATATTTATATCTATAAAAAGAGCGTATAAACAAAAAATGTCTTAAAATAAATTTCGGACATTGTCCATTTCATAATATCTATCTATCTATCTATCTATGTATTGTAATTATTTTCTTTTTAATATATGATTCCATCGCGACACAAAAAATTCCATGTTTCAAAACTGAAACTAAATGTATAAACTTAATTATAAAAATTAAACTTAAAATCCATAATCTCGTTCCATTGTTAAGCGATACTAGGGATAACTTTCTAAGAAATTTACTTAATTTATAAACGCAGACAATATTGATATCATGTGTTGTTACGGTAAAAGAAAATTTAATCTATTTTAATTTTGGGGTGGTTGGGTTTTAATTTCCCTAGACAGCTTATGTATCCAATATATGTCACTTACAAAGTTAACTGGGGTGGGGGTGGCTATAAACAAACGTATACATCCGTTATTCAGCGAGTCGTCTGGGTTTTCAATGACAAAAAATATTTTGGCATTTTTATTCATCTGCTTAGTTCATATTTTTAGGCACAAAGACTTTCTAAATGGGTCATTTAAATATGAGTAAATCGTATTTTTAATATTTAAATTTTATTCTTATAGATTTAAAGTACCATTCACCCTTCTAATAACTCATAGACTATACGGTATTTTTACAAATAAATATATTAGAATTTAATTACTATTTAATGATGACATGATCGTCACCTTCTTTCATTTTATACACACAATGTTTCTACTATTGTAAACACCAGTCTCCTACAGATGGTCTGTCGTCAGAATATTTCGTATGTCTCAGAATATCTTGGAATGTTTCGTTTATCTCGGAATGTCTCCAAATGTTTTATATGTCTCGGAATATCTCGGAATATTTGGGTTATCTTGGAATGTCTCGGGATGTTTTGTGTCTTGGAATATTTTGGAATGGTTCTTATGTCTCGGAATTTTTTATAATGTTTCGTTTGTCTCGGAATATCTCGGAATGTTTCGTATGTTTCGGAATGTTTTGTTTATCTCGGAATGTCTCGGAATGTTTCGTGTATCTCTGAATGTCTTGAAATGTTTTGTATGTCTCGGAATATCTCGGAATGTTTCGTATGTATCGGGCTGTTTCGTTTATCTCGGAATGTCTCGAAATGTTTTGTATGTCACGGAATATCTCGGAATGTTTCGTATGTATCGGACTGTTTCGTTTATCTCGGAATGTCTCGAAATGTTTTGTATGTCTCGGAATATCTCGGAATGTTTCGTTTGTCTCGAAATTTTGAAACGATCCCAGTATAGTTCATGGATGCGAATTGTTCTCATTCTCCTTTCAATGCTACCATATATCAGATTGTAGTCTATTGGACAAGGTAGATAGACCAAAGCGGCGAAGGTTAGCGTGATCAAAGTATCCCTCAGTCATTCAGTATGAACAACGAGATATATATCAGATGTGATGTGTATTTGATGAGATAACGCATATATAAAACGATGAATAAAATGCGGCCGAACATTCCCGATTATTCCGTGACGGTAATGGTAATAGTGGGAGTAGTACAAGAGGAAGCACGGTAGAATAATGAATAGCGGCTCGGAGATCCGAGTTCGAATTCCTGTCGAATCAATTACATTCACTTACGTGCTAATACCCTTGAGAAAAGTATAAATCCTCTTCTCCTCCTAGCTATGGGTAAATAGCAGGACAGACCAGGTTCTCATAGCCTTGGGTGGCAACTGGTCTCCTGGAGAAAGAAATGACAACCTACTGCGGGGAAAAAATCTGCCTCGTCAGTCATGTATCGAAAGATAAATGATCGCCTAAGCTTGTATCAGACGTGGCACATAACTGACTGACTGACTTTCCATTTGAATCCATTACATTCACTTATATGTTAATAACCTTTGGGAAAGGTATTAATCCTTTTCTTCCCACCCCTAACTATAGATAAATAGCAGGACAGACCTGGTTCTCATAGCCTTGAATGGCAACTGGTCTACCGAAGAAAGAAGTGACAACATACTGCGGGGAAAAAAAATCTGCCTCGTCAGTCATGTAGTGACTGAGTACAAGAAACATGAGGCACTCGTTGATCGAACAGAATTACTGTCGGTTGAAATTTATAAAATATTTCTCTTAAAACAGTTTTTTGGGAAAATAGGTTTCCCAAGTTTACTAACTATTTTCACATTTTTTAGTATTAACTGGGGTTTCTTTCTTGACCTTTTGTTTGAAGTTGTGTGAAAAGTTAATATCCTGATTAGGTCACTATTTTCTCTTCGAGTTAAATGCTCTACCTATTTTCTTTGTTGCTACTTTTGGAAGTCTTGAAGTGATGTGATTTTTTGTTTAGTATTTTTCTGTGATTCTCTAACGTCAGTCTGTGAGATCTGATAAAAGATTGTTTTCTTTAAGACTTACAAGATTCATTTGCTTGAAACGAATTTTAATTATCAATTCGCGAAAATGGTCGAATTCAGATGACTGTTTCGATATTTCTGGACAAGGTGAACGCTATGACATATGACATTATATATGGAAATCTAAATCTGACGAGGCTATTTAAGCACAAGAAAGAAAAGGAGAATGAAATAAAAAGGAAAAAGAAAATAGAAAATAGAAAAAAAGTAGTGAAAAAAGAAAGAAGGAAGAGAGGAGGAAATAAAAGAGAAAAAGAAAGAAATAAGAGAAATAAGACAAGGAAGAAGGAAAAAGAAAGAAAAGGAGAAAGGAAAGAAAATAGAATCTAAGGGTAAGAAAGAAAGAAAGAAAGAAAGAAAGAAAGAAAGAAAGAAGAAAGAGGTGAAAATAATTTGTCGGAACATCTATCCCAATGATTCCCAACGTGGGGCGCATGTCTGGCCGGTGAGGCATGGTAATATTTTCGTAGGGTATGCTGTTACAATTCCAACAGAAAAAAAAGGGACAATTCGAGAATGAGTTATTAACAGTGAATTGTTTTCTTGTGAATCTGAGAATATGTTGCTGGAAGAGCCCATGATTTGTCGGCCAATCAGCGCGTGTGTGCATTCAGTTTGCTTCCTTCACGTGAATTTCAGTAAAATTTTGAATATGTAAGAATTAAATATTACAGGGTGGGGGAGCAGAATTTTAGAAATATCAAAATGGGGCGTGGCCCCCAAATCGGTTGAGAACTTCTGGTTTATCCATACATTGCTCATATGAAATCTTTTTTTTTTTTTTTTAGAATAAAGACATAAACGAAAGATGTTAACAGAATTAAGAGAAAATATATAAGCCAATGAAGGAATGGAAAAAGAGAATGAAAAACAAAATTGGGTGGTTTGGACACATTACAAGTCACGACAGCCTGTGCAAGAGCATAATGCAGAGCACTGGACAGAGAAGAGGACGCCAATGTAAAAACTGGTTGGGCAATGTCAAACAATGGACAGGTATGACTATACCAGAATTGCTGATGACTGCCCTTGATACACCGTTGTGGAAAAGAGTTAGTTTGGCTTCTGTATTCGGACCCGCGCTACGATTACAAAAATCAGGATGATGATGATGATGATGATGATGATGACGAAAAACGCCGAACAAATGAATAAAATAAAGGGAAACCTCTTAAGAATTGCTTTTCATTTGTTGGAGAATCTTCTGAACACAAGGATATCAAATTTTTATAGAAATCTACAGAATATGTGGGAAAGGGTTGAAAGATGGCCGAAAACGTTAAAGATTTTATCAGAATATCTGCTGTACGCTACCATACGTATACCCTATTCTCTTCCTGCGTATTTAGGCAGTGCATTTTCTTTAAGGCGAATCTTATTAATGACACCTGATATTTTGTGTCGCTTAATTTTTATTGATTGACTTTTCAATTTTACGAATGATCCTTCTCAGATAAGAAGGAAATACCGGCAGTAATTTTCCAAAGTACATTTCGGGAAAAAAATATCGTCTAAGCTTTCGACCATCTTAAGTCGTCATCAGGGTAGGTAGAGACTAATAGTGAGTTTCGTAGAACTAGTGTGTTTAGTGTCGTACGCAATGTTTTCTTTCACGATGTTACAATTCTTCGCAAAATACATTTGCGCACAAGCTTATTTCAAGCCAACATATGTAAAGGCTTTATAACTCAGTAATAATAATAATAATGATAATATAGAAGTAGTACATGACTCACATCAGATGATGCAGATATAGACATTGCACTCAATGTCCATCAGAGAAGGCAGTTGCATCAGCAGGTGACGATCGACGCTTTCATTAGATTTCATTGCGTGTCTTCGACATATGAACACGTGGCCGATCTAACTTTTCCTAGGAATAAACAATATTGTTATGTATGAGTAAGATAATTTTGTGCTTTAGTCTTCATACGGTAAATATATATATATATATATATATATATATATATATATATATATTATGCATCTTGGGGCAAATACGGCCGTAACAACACTTTTCCAACGGACACGGTTCTGGGCGATCCTCTTCAGCTCGGCCAATGTCGTGCCTTCATCTCGGCGTCAATATTTCTCTCTGTTTTGGTTGACCCGCCTTTTAGATTCCAGTCAAGGGCATGCCTGGTGATACTAGAAGCAGGCTGGTGGAGTGTGTGACTGATCCATCCAGATTTCCGTTACTTGATGTCAATCTCAATTGGGACTTGTCTGGTCCTGTCCCACAGTTGGAGACGACTTCCGGCCGCCTGATATTGTGTATGTACCTGAAACATCGCTCGGTTAATGTCTGAAGTTTGTGGCTGTTAGTATTGGTTACCCGGCATGTAGGACCGACTTAACGTTGGTGCTGAAGATCCGGATCTTGTTGCAACTTGATGATAGAAATTACCCCTAAAAACCCTGTAAACACAGTCTTACCATCTCATTTTCTCTCTATATATATATTGCATTGGTATCAAAAGAAAAACAAAGCTTAAAACAAGAAATAAAACAATCATTACTGCTTCGAAATTATTTTATTATTTCAGGCAATACAAAGGCTAACACCCAGAATAATATATACTTACTATCTGGAATGGGTAAATAAGCATCGATATATAAGAAATGAACAAGGTCGTATTACCAAAACATTCTGCTGATGACGGCTGCTGCGGAAAGTTGTAAACAACGCGTGGCGCTGTGCTTGTAGCTGCTCAACGAACTAATGGTAGCTGATTGAAATAATACCGGACCATGGGATTTACCGGATTACGGAGTACCGTATTAAGGACGTCATACTTTATACTTTTTATAATGAGATATTATAATGTCGGATTCAACACATGAAATTCATAAAATTTTGCGATATTAATCAAAATTCTTGTAGCAGTTTGTATGGTTCCGGAAACAGAATAAACAAAAATTGATTTAAACATTTTCATTTTGGATGTGGGGTTAGTTAACAGCACGGAAAATTAAATAGGGGAACCCAGTTCGATTTCTGATCTCGTCTGTTTGGTTTGGAATGGCTATTATTACTCAGGTTTTTGTACTTGTTTAAGATTTTATTATACTGTTTTTTAATAATTTTTTCAAGTTTATCTGTACAGCTATAGCATAGTTTCAGTGTATTTTTGTTAAAAATTTTACTGATTGGATTATTTCGGGGAAGTATTTATCAACTAAATGGAGGAACTGCAGCCCTAACTTATAACTAACCATTTGGTTAAATGAGGTGTGTACCAAACGATTTTCCTGTTTCTGTTCTTATTCCTACGATCGCTGTTGTTAAGTTTTTTATATTTGATGTCAAGGCACTTATAGCCACTATACTTATAAAAGAAATCTTCGTTGTAAGAGTGTAAGAGTTATTACTAATTCAGTATTCTATAGAAGAGGGTATGTGTTTGATTACTGATGGAGGGTGGTTAAAATTCGGGTGGATGAATATTTGATTGGCATTTATTTTTATGTAAATTTGGAATGCATTATTAACTAGGTCTAATGTAACATCAAGGAAATATAATATAATATAATATATATAAAATACGATCCAATTCATCAAGAGAAAAAAAACATTCATTTTTTTTCTCTTCTTAAAATATTCCACTCATCTCTCCTGAAATTCTCTACTGTTATTTTTTTATCTCCCTCCTCTAAGAGGATAGAATTACTCTCTCTAAATTCTGTTTTATTTAAGAATTTTTTTCTGTTTCTTTTTTGAATTTGTAGGTCTGATGAATTGGATCGTATTTACGGTTCCAATGGAATAAATTATGACCATGGAATATTAGTGTTTAAGCCTTTTTTTATATATATATATATATATATATATATATATATATATATATATATATATATATATATATACTGTTACTTTTTAATAGATTTGAGTAGATAACCTGCTTTTATTTATTTATCTTGGCCTGAATATAAATATTTTTAGAAAATATGAGCCTTTTGGCATATATATATATATATATATATATATAAATATGAATTCAATCGTATTTAGAGGCGACAGAATCTGTTTCCATGCTATATTCGTCAGGTTTTTTTATGCTATTATATTTCTCGGCTATTTATATATATACGGGTATATATATAAAAGCCGTTACTTTTAATAGATGCATACCATGAAATATATTTACACACGCTCTATCTCTGATATTTAGCACTTTATGAATAAATATAGCACACCTTAAGACTATATATTTCTTTATATATATATATATATATATATATATATATATATATATTGATATAGATATATAGTTGTATGTAGGTGTATATGTGTTCAAGTATACATAAAAAGGCTCTATAATGTGTACATGTATGTATATATGCACATATATATATGAGAGTATTTATATTTGTCCATGTATGTACAAGTATACAACAAAAAAAGCTCTAATATAACTGAATGGCTGTGCATGTATGTACACATACATGTAGGTACACACACACACACACACACACACACACACACACACATATATATATATATATATATATATATATATATATATATATATATATATATATATATATATATCCAATATGCGATGGCAAAAAAAACATATTTCGATTCGCATTTAATTTTTTCGTCTCGGATGCTACCTGGATTTTACTAAAACAATTTCCATGCCTGAGGATGACTGAATGTGCAGTTGAAAGTACTTACGTATTAAAAAAGACCTTATATATCTCAAAATTATTTAATTTAAGCTAAAAAATTTCGCCATTTTATATCATTACCTATACTAATCTACTTTTTTTGTATGAATGATTTTCATTATATATATATATATATATATATATATATATATATATATATATATATATATATATATATATATAAAATATGTGGTGCAATTCAATTTATTTTACAATGAATCATTCATGCAAAAAGTAGTTGAGTAAAGTTAATGATATAAAACATATTTTGATTCGCATTTAATTTTTCATCTCTGATGCTACTTGGATTTTACTAAAAACAAAATAATTTCCATGCCTGAGGATGACTGAATGCATAGTTGAAAGTACTTGCAGATTAAAAAAGTCCTTATACAGCTTATAGTTATTAAAAACAAGGATCATAACATTCATCGAGTGATTCGTAGGTTAATGCAACTTTAAAAATTTGTTTGCGAAACGATTTCGCCATTTTATATCATTAGCTTTACTAATCTACTTTTTGTATGAATGATTAATTGTAATATATAATAATAATAATAATAATAATAATAATAATAATAATAATCAAACACTGTCTAATTTAAAATCCAGCCAGCTACACCAAACGACTCTGCTATAGATAAAACAAACACACCAACAGGCGGACAGACACTCTCTTGTACATTGGGGTTGATCCTAAATAAAACATTATATATATGACTAAGCAAAAATAAGGATAAAAAAAAGATAAGGAGCAAAAATAGAATTATTTATTTGTCTCTAGAAAAATATTCGTTGGGGATTATTTCGGAATTATGTTTTTATATAAAAAAAACAAATGTCGTATAAATAAATTAGTATTGTAATATACACTAGTGTCTAATGAAAAATTCTCGAGCAGACCCGCTTCCAAAAGACTGACTTAACAAACATCAGATTTTCACCCACTTTCTTGGTAGAGCCAACGACATTTCAGCAGCCTGTCGTATATAATTATAAATTTCACTTTAAAATTATTTATATGTGACGATACAAAATACAGATTTTGACAGACGAAAATTTTAATGTGATTAAATCTGAGTAATTAGGTGAATAAATACATCCATGAAAATTATATCACATGCGCATACACATATGTGCGTGAGGGGGATAGGGAAGGAGAAAGAGAGAGCGAGGAGAAGAAAAAGAGAGAGGAGAAATGGAGAGGAGCAGAAAGAACGAGGATGGGAGAAAGAGAGAGGGGATAGAGTGAGAGAAGAGAAAACCAGAGGGGAGAAGAGAGAAAGTGAAGAGAAAGAACTAGGGGAAGAAAGAGAGAGAAAGATGGAGAGAGAGAGCGAGGGGAGAAAGAAAGATAGAGAGAGGAAGAAAGTGAGAGGGAGGAGAGAAAGAGAGGGATAAAGAGAGAGTGAGGAGCAACCGAGAGAGTGGGGAGAAAAAGAAAGAGGCATAAAGAGAGGAAGATGCATAAAGGGAGAGGGGAGAGAGAGCTAAGAAGAAAGTGAGAGGGGAAAAGAGTCAGAGAGGAGGATGATGAGAGAGGGGGAAAGCGAGAGAAAAAGAGAGAGAGAGAGAGGGGGGAAAGAGAGAGGGGAGAAAGAAAGAGAGAAGGAGAAAGTGAGAGGGAGGGGAAGAAATCGAGAGAAAGAGAGAGGGATAAAGAGAGAGATGGGAGAAAGAAAGAAAGAAGGAAAGAAAGAAGGAAAGAAAGAAAGAAAGAGAGAGAATGTGTGTGGTTATGTGTGTGCGTATGCGTGTACGTATCTGGTTGAAAAAGAATGAAATATTAATTCACTCAAAATCAGAATTTCTTTTCCAGTTGGCTTTCGCTGAGGGCAACTTTGCCAATTGTCAGAAATGGCGGTGAAATCAGCGTCATCTCACAAATGTTTCATGGCTGGTGACTGCTTCTCATACGCTCTGAAATAATGAAAAAGAAAAAAAATAAAGAAAAGAAAAAGCATGATCAGAAAAGATTTCTGCAGAAAGAAAACCTCGACAGCAACAAAAGAATAATTGCTTAGTGAGTCAAGTAAAAAAAATCATGCAAAAAATGAGGATGAAGGAAGTAGCTGTTAATGGAGAAATTAAAACGGGAAAAAAAGAATCTATAGAAGAAGAAGAAGAAGAAGAAGAGGAAGAAGAAGAAGAGAAAAGAAAAGAAGAAGAAGAAGGAATAGTTTCAGTTGCGTGGGATGAAGGAAATAAGTGCATTTTTATCTATGAAATTAATATGAAGCAAAAGGTGGTAATGAAGTCGCAGTTAAGTGTATCTTTTGTGATATGCTGTTTGATTTTATTATATTTTATTATACCTCATGTACTACGCCTTAATATGACATGATTTGCTCGATTGGTAAGGAGGGAAGAATTGAAAAGGACTCAAGAGATGACATTTGTTCAATATGTATTTATAAAGGGTTTTCATTCTTTCTTTCTTTCATTCTTTCTTTCTTTCTCAGCCTATTCATATCTATCTGTTCAAATCTATCTATCTATCTATCTATCTATCTATCTATCTATCTATCTATCTTAATGATAATAATCGTCAATGAGCTTGCCATTAGTACTGAAGGAAAATTGATCCTCAAATGGGTTAACCCTTAATAATACACACACACACACACACACACACACACACACACACACACACACACACACATATATATATATATATATATATATATATATATATATATATATATATATATGTGAAAAGTGTATATAAATATACATAAATATATATATATAATTATTTATATATTATATATATATATATATATATATATATATATATAGTGATCCCCGAAAACGGGAACTTTTTAAAAATCCAATAAAACCAAGAATGATGGAAGAAAAATATTTTATTCATAGTAATTGAAACCTTAAAACCTGCCATTTAAGAAACAATGATGGAATTTTCATTTTTTAAAAATTACGTCCTGTAGATGGCGTCCTCCTGTACGAATGCATTCTTTAAATCTGCTGTTGAGATTCCTCATTGACTGCTGCAACATCTCAGCTTGGATGCTGTGAATTTCATCTTGAATTCTAAATGACGAAATGTTTACTTGCTCAAGGTCACTGTCTCGGAGTGTTGCCACTTGCTCATGTCTGGCAATACGCACTTCAAAAATTCCCGTTTTTTTGGGTCACCCTGTATATGTGTGTGTGTGTATGTGTGTTTATCAAGCTTGTCCTACCTCATCAGTTACGATTGAGCAATGTGTTCGAACATAATTCGGTGCTCTAATCTCTCGACCTTGTGTCATATCTCATATAGGCTTAGTAAATCACTATATATATATATATATATATATATATATATATATATATATATATATATATATTGACACGCATAAGTATTGGATACATCTTATTTTCTGCTAAAACTCTAGTTTAATGTTCGTCATTTTACCAGATATTTGGTAAATAATATCCCGTAAAGCTGTTTTAGTTGTATGTGGAAGGAAAATTAAAAACTCATGGTTGAAACCTGTTCGTTCACTCTTCAGAGGATATGCGTGTTAGAAAGATATATATCTGGCCTGGTATTGAACTCAGAACTCTCAACTTAGTGAACCAAAACTTAGAGAGTTGAGTTAAAGAGAAATAACTAAGGCATCCGGAAGAGGCATGACACGTGGAACTACAACAATCTATCCGGCTGGATGAAGTAAAGGGTTCGGTTCGAAATTCCAATCACCTGAAGAAGGCTGGAGGATACAACGGCCGAAACGTTGTGAATATGGCAATGAAGCTGAGGATAACAGTCTGAATAATGTAAATAATGCTTGTAATCCAGTTCCACGGCGCAATCATTTGCGAGAAGGAGATGTGCGAGAGAATGTGGGTGGTTTGTTATAATATAAGTGGCGGGTCCATGCTGTGAAGAATAAAACGGGTGGATCCAAGGAATGAAGTTCGTTCGATCACTTTCCGTGGAAGTGACGATAGAGCAGCGAGAGGCTTGCCCCATTCCTCCTGTCAGAGAGGGGTTGGAGGGTGCAAAATTATTCATCACCCACAAAGCCTCGGAGACGCTTTTGGCCTTCATCGAGGCTGGAAGGTGCGGTCTGGTCAGTTGCCGCCCAAATATGACAACAGTACCCCATTTTAGGCCTGGTCTGGTCTCTTGTAAAGATAGAGGATAGCATGGGGTGTGAGTTACTTACTGTAGCGGTACAGAGCGACGATCATTTGTACCTACATCTTTATCGATGGCGCGTATGTTCGATTTCCACTTGAGGTCAGGTGTAAGTTTAAGGCCCAATAGTTGCTCAAGGCACGGTGTCTCTCCTAGGGGCTTCCATTCATCGTGCATGACGGTAGTTCGAGGTTCGATCGGTGATGATGGAACTGCAAAGGGATCTAATATCTGGAGGTGACTGGGGGACGTCTTTACAACACAGTCAGAACCGAATACTTTACATCGTTTGCTATCTTTAACATTTGGGAACATACTAATTATATAAAATCAACTTTTGATTTTGCAGACTCTTTAAATCTCTACAGGTCCGCATCATCATCTTTTTTGGAGTGGTTAATGGTTTCTTTTTGCCCGTGACCTTTTTCTATTAACATTGTTGTAGACCATCCATTTTTCATTGCCTCTACTCGTTCTTTTCAAACACGGTCAGCTTTTGTTGCTTGTAAGGGAACCATTTTTACCTTCGATCAGTATGACTGATGCTAACCTGCATGAGAATAAGTCATCGCGCCGTTTTGGTCAACTGTTTTCTACTGAAATGAAATGGTGTGATTATATTGAATCATTTGCTAGTTCTGCCAATAGGAAAGTTGTTCATTATAGCGTGCCAAACAATGTTTTCTTCCGAATATATCTTGCACATTCATAAATCTACTCTTCGTCCGTACGTTGAATATTGCTGCCATATCGGGTCTGATGCTCCGGTTATATATCTCGACATTTGAAATCCAAAGCGGGGTCTGTAATTTAATCGCTGAGCTGGTATCTCGACTTCACTTTCTCACGGCCATGATGTGGCTTCCATTTGCGTTTCTATAAATATATTTTATGGCTATCTTCCCCTCGGTACCTCAACTGAATACATTTAAGGACACTACTAAAATGGCTACTAGGCCTCATCCATCCTGGGTAAAACGGTAAACTATATCCACGTCCTGGGTAAGACGATAAACTACATCCGCGTCCTGGGTAAGACGATAAACTACATCCGCGTCCTAGGTAAGGCGATTAACTATATCCGCGTCCTGGGTAAGACGATTAACTACATCCGCGTCCTGGGTAAGACGATAAACTACATCCGCGTCCTGGGTAAGACGATAAACTACATCCTACAGCAAGGCCTCTGATCAGGAGATTTTGAGGAACGTGAAACCATCTGTTAATTGCTGGTGTTCCCAGGTCCAACCTGACTCGGGGTGGTAGCACCTGTTAGGGTCCCAGCTATGGGTAATAAGTTAACCCCCAAACTTTGGTCAGAACACTATGAAAGGCTAAAAATAGTTCATAATACCAGAAATATTTTGTAAAAAATTGTTACCAGCAATAAATTTCTTGAAGAAAATTTATTACCGGCAATATTTTTTTAAATGTTACCAGCTTTACATTTTATGAAAAAATTATTACCAGAAATAGATTTTTTTAAGGAAAAATATTACTAGCAATATATGTTTGAAAAAAAAATATTACCAACAGTAAAAATTTTGTCGGCATTAAATAACCGATTGTGGTTGATATGCCGTAAAATAAACCAAATCAAAACCAAACCAAAACCAAGCCAAAACCAAACCAAAACCAAGCCAAAACCAAACCAAAATAAAACCCAAACCAAACCAAACCAAACCAAAACTAGGCCCCCATCGTTTTACTGTGGAAACAACTAGATGTAACCATAAGTTTTATTCTAAATTTTTCTCCCAATACTCACATGTTGAAGTCTATTTCGTTTGCTTGCTTCCCTGTCAATCTTTAAAAAATTATGTCTTCCTGATTTTTTTCTTTTATTGTCATTTCTTCTTCTTAAAGTTTTCTTTCCCTTCCAGTAACCCATTGCATCTTAGTGGCATTATTGCCTTACTTTGGGTGAAATGATAAAAGAACAATAACAATCACAGATAGAAATATCGTCCATTTAATTTTTAAGGTTAAATCGTGAGGCACCAAAAATCCGTAGCGATTCCCGTATCGAAGCCTATTCAAATCTCTAACCAATGCTCATATAAGATATATAAATTGTCTCAGTGATATGAATGTGGTGCACCTGGATTATTTCGTTTCGATGTGCTCATCATCTACCACAGCAGGCGTGCGGGATCGTTCTGGGACTTTCTGTAAAATTTTCCATTTCTGAACGCAGCGAATCACATACGAACTGGACTCGCTGCTACAGCACCAACCCATAAATGGCACATACTTTTTTTTACTGTTTGTAAATCGATTTTTTTTTCTTTCTGGAAAATGAAAGGGCGTCAAAAGACAAAAATGAAACCTAATTTCCCTGCTTTTTTAATTTTGTTATAAAATACATTAAAAATTCAAAATGAATCGTAAAACGCGTCGAAATGTTCAAAAATGTATATAAGACACAAATTTGTCACGTGTGAAACGCCATCTGTCACGTGTGAATCGCAATTGTTTCTCCTTAATAATTTGTTCTTTTTTTTTCATATTCTCTCATACTTAGTAAGCTCTTACATCTTAGTGGATTTATTGCCTTACTTAAGAAGAAATGAATAAAAAAATAAGATATTCCAACGTCATCTTTTGTAAAACTCTACGAACATTTTTCCAACCGTCTCTTTAAATGTAAGTTCTTTCCAAAGGGCGTCAGATTGAAAACGGAGCCAACATCAAGTGCCTTGAGGAGATAGCGCTGCTTTGGGTCGAGAAAGTGGTTGCTTGAAGACTCTATGTCTGGCAACAGGACTCTGCACTATGCTACACAAGCAGGAGAATCCAGTCAGACAATTTTTACGGCCACATCACCCCTTACATCTGGCCACCAAACTCCCCGGAATGCAGCCCTCTTGATTATTATGTGTGGGGCGCTGTTGAACGAGAGACCAACAAAACTCCTGATAACACTGAAGGATTATGGGTGCATTCAACAATTTAAACAAAGAGAACATTCAAAAGAGATGCAGGAGATTCCGAATCCGTCTGGAGGCCTTGATTGAAGCCAATAGCTATTTTATTGAATAAATATACTGTTTATTATATCAAGATA